GCAGAACTGGGTTGGGTGTGAAAAAGTATTTGTTGTTAACATTCTTTTTGCATTCAGTTTTTCCAGTTACGAGTCCTTTTTTTTAAAGCTGATCATTTTGTGTTCATTTTGTTTAGTTCTTTTTTCGTAACAGATTTAATGTTTAGTATAGAGCTTCGAAAATATTCGCAGTGTGAGATAGGCAAGAAGTAAGGCATGTAGCAACATCGGCACGGCAAAGGGCACTCTTTTAAAGGCCAAGAAGGGTAAAAATATTTTAAATCAAGTGATGGCGAATGCTGTATGAGTCATACGATTTTTTAATCAAGCACGGGCAACGGTGGGTCATGCTGCTAGTAGGTACTATAGCGAAGAGTTCCACTGAACAATTACCATGAAACATTTATTATTTAAATGGCACATGGAAGCAACTTTAAGGTGATGAGAAAGTGAATGAAGGTGAGATGACAGGTCAGGACCAATAATATTGCTGATTCTTCTTTGGATCTTATCAAGAATCTCTAAATATATTTCAGGAGCACCAGGCCATATGTAGCAGCAATATTCAAAGCATGGATGAATGGTAAACTTATAAATATTTAATATTCTGAAGAGAAAAATTGTTTTACACGACAAAGTAAACCAACTTTCCTAGCAGCAGACATAGCAATTGATTCAATATGCGCTTTCCACTTCATGTCAAATATGATAAAAAAACACTATTACGGAGAGAACAATAAAAGAACAGTAATTAAGAAGAAAGTTAATAACAGAAAAAAATAAATTTTTGATGATCAAAGTTGACTGGAAAGTAAGAAGCCAGAAGAGAGTTCCACAGGCAAGAAGTGTGATAGAAGAAACTACTAGCATAGAACTTACGGTTGCATCTATGCATTTCAATTGTAAAATGATGAGACCATGGCACCAATCTAGTACTGCACTTAAATTCATAAAGTATAGGTACTATAGCGAAGAGTTCCACTGAACAATTACCATGAAAATATTTATTAAAATGGCACATGGAAGCAACTTTAAGGTGATAGGAAAGTGAATGAAGGTGAGATGACAGGTCAGGACCAATAATATTGCTGATTCATCAAGAATTTCTAAATATATAGCAGGAGCACCAGACCATGTGTGGCAGCAATAGTCAAAGCATGGATGAATGGTAGACTTATAAATATGTAAGTCAGATTTCGGGAGAGAAAAGTTGTCTAACACGAGCCACTCTCATTGAGGTTAGTATCAGCCATACTGATGTGTGGCAAGCAGAGGCCTTTCAGGTTGTTGACAGAGAGAAGTTTCATTCAGAAAAGACAGAGGGAAGCCAGGTTAGGGCCCTGGGAATGTAACTGAAGCCGAGATACCAGGTCAGGATAGATAACATTGCAGATTCTTCTTTGGATGTAAGCGAGCATCTTTAAATCCATAGAAGAAGCTCTAGATTAGATGTCATTAAATGGATGCATGGTAGACTTATAAATGTGCAAGATTGATTCTATCGATAAAAATTGTTTGCACGAAACAGTGAAGCAAATTTCTTCGCAGCAAAACTTGCAATTCCTTAGCAGCAAAACTTGCAAATCCTTAGCAGCAGAACTTGCAATTCCTTAGCTGAAGAATTTGCAATTCCTTAGCAGCAAAACTTGCAATTCTTTACCAGCAAAAGTTGCAATTCCTTAGCAACAGAACTTGCAATTTCTTAGCAGCAGAACTTGCAATTTCTTAGCAACAGAACTTGCAATTTCTTAGCAGCAGAACTTGCAATTTCTTAGCAACAGAACTTGCAATTTCTTAGCAACAGAACTTGCAATTTCTTAGCAGGAGAACTTGCAATTTCTTAGCAGCAGGACTTGCCATTCCTTAGCAGCAGAACTTGCAATTGTTTCAATATAATCGTTCCACTTTACGGGACGGTTATATTTAACAAATTAGATTTTTACAGGGTGGGGATTGCAAACCCCACCCCGTACTTATTGCAAATTTTACTCATAATTTTTACACAAAATTAGCAGGGACCTATCTATTAGCTACAGAAAATAGCGTCCATAGCCAAAAATGAATTTGCGTTACTATTCAAATATCTGGCACAATGAGATTAATTGTTTTCATTAAATTTAATAGATTTTGAACAACAATCTAGATCAAGCCTGCAGAAAATACAGGTGACCGTTTGGTGATACCTGGTGCTCTAAGCTTGGATGTGCGGGTGGTGTAATGGATAAGAGCTCCAAGCCGAGTTCCAGTTCCCGTTGTGATCGTTATATTCACTTATGCAAATACCTTTGGGAAAGGTATGAATCCGTTTTTTCTCTCCCAACTATGGGTTAACTAGTAAGACTTGTATCACTAAACTATTATTATAAAAAAAAATTCTTAAAATATAAAATTATTTTTTGGCTTTAAATAACCTGAAATAGCGTTTATAAGCTGTAAAAAATCCAAAAATATGACCCACGGGCCATATGCGACACACCCGCGTATCTCCCCAATGTGACTCACGATGGGTTTTCAAATTGTCAGTTTTGTGATCATCAGAATAAATTCGACAACTAATCGTATATTAAAGAATCAGTTTTCTGGATTCAACCAATATGTCTTTGTATCGAATTAATCCTTTTAACTTTCCTCTGACTTTTCTACAAATAGTTTTACGGTAACTGCTCCGACGAGCTACTTTCGTTAGTTCCCAAACTGCATGAATTTAAACGTGCTACTAGGTTGGCATCTCGGTCCCACCCTTTCACTGTCGAAATGTAGCTGTCTCTTCTACTCCAAGAGCTTCATGTCTCACACTTCCCGCCTGTGGAATTCCCTTTGTCTTACTTGCTTCCCTGATAGCTATAATCGCCAACTATTCAAATTTAACGTCAATCGATATCTCCAGATGCCTTAATCTATTCCCCGTCTTTCTCTTCATCCTTTCCTCTATCACGCCTCTTTATTCTTGATCAAACTCTTTGTGTGCTAGTGGCACTCACGCCTTGCTTGGGGTGAAAAGCTTAAAAAATCCTCTTCGTAGAAAAAAAAAAAAGAATTTTCTCACCTTACCCATACCTGTTTCTATCGCAATCATACTCAGTAATTTACTCTAAAAATTTACACTTGGGGCTAATTTTGTGCAATCACTAGTCCTTCAAATTCTTTTTAATTGGACAAACCTCCAGTCTGCAAAAGGCAATTTACTTCCTGCCAGCTGGCACTTAACAATGAGATTGTGTTGTATGTAATCGTTGAGATCCCAGTTCTGTATTTTTACTAAGACATTTTTACAGATTTTTATGTACGTGATTTAATAATCAGATCATCCTAGTGTTTTTGTTTTTTTGTTTTTTGTTTTTTTTGTTTTTTTTAACCACGATAACAATAATAATAATAATCATCAGGTGAATATAATGGCCGCCATGTTGATTGTTATTGCTTGAAACTCTGCGTAGCGGATATTGATATGATTGTATTAATAGTATTATTATATTATATTCAGGCTCTGTCAATTTTGGTATAGAGCCATCGGTTTATTTATATTCTAAGCTTTAAGTGTGTTTTAAGCTTTAGCTTATATTCTTACAGTGTATACATACATGCATGCACATACACACACACGCGTGCGCACACACACACACAGACACACATGCAGATACACACAGATACACACACATACTCACACACACACACATGTATATATATATATATATATATATATATAAATGCATATACCCACTCACACACACTCATATATATATATATATATATATATATATATATATAATATTATAAATTGATTTATTTAAAATATGTATTTTTTCGCTACACAGTTCTAACCATGTTTCAAAAATGGAAGCTAAAAGCTACGAATTTAATTTTGTAATTAAATTAAAGACATTAGTTCCATTTCATCCTCAAGCAGATAACTTTTAAAATTATATCTTACTGTTCTTTCTTTCTTTATATATATATATATATATATATATATATATATATATATATATATATATATATATATATATATATATATATATATATATATATATATATATATATATATATATATATATATATATGTATATATATATATATATATATATATATATATATATATATATATATATATATATACAGTATATGTTATATATACGGAATAAATTCCAATAAATTTTTAAAACAAAAAATACTATTCTTAAAAGAGTACTCAGTACCGAGTAGAGCAAATATAATTATTTATTCGAAAATTATAACATATATATATATATATATATATATATATATATATATATATACAGTCAATTGCCGCTCATTTCTGACGCGTGGACAGGATGATTACAAAAATGTTTGTTTACGAAACTCCATAGTCAGGGGTGCTGAATATAAAACCAACCAGCTAAGTGACAAAATTTGACATAATAAAACTGTTCTGTTTGTTTTGATATATTATTTATAATCAATATATTATTATCAACATTATCATATATATATATATATATATATATATATATATATATATATATATATATATATATATATATATATACTGTCATCCACAAACAGACTGTTTCGCTGTATCACAGCCCCTCAGTGTGGCTAGACCTCCGATTGCTTCATATATGCAGGTATGAAGAAAAATAGGAAAAGAACACGTTTGGTAAATAATCCAGGGTTCTTTAGTATTTTTGTTTTTAAAAAACTGTGCTCAATACAGAAGTAGAGCTTAGGTTATAATTATTTTTTTTAAAAATATGATTCCTTCGCTACATAAGAGTTCTCATGTTTCAAAAACGAGAGCCGAAACCATCAATATAATTATTAAAATTGAATTGAATTAAAGTAACAAACTCTGTTTCATCCTCAAGCGAAAATTCAGGAAATTTTAAAAAATAATAATTATATACATATATATATATATATATATATATATATATATATATATATATATATATATATATATATATATATATATATATATTCAAATACACCCTAAATACAAGTAATATTCAATTACTTGTGTATACTGTACAAAAACTCTGATGGTGCCATTCCCGCCAGCAAACGCCGCCACTCCGGCATTATCAACTCAGGCCAAGTTCACATTTACGCACCTACAGACGCCTAAATCTTAAACCAAATTAAACCTACGTACAGACAATCCGTCAAAGATACTGACCGTTGCATTATCTGCTTCGTGAAACACCGTCTTTCTCATAACAGCCGAAAAAAAACAAATGTTTAATTTACATTGTTCTTTTTTTTTTTTTTTTTTTTTTTTTTCTCGTCTTTCTGTGCATTGTCTTTCTTTTTATCCTAACTGGCCGACTTCATTGGTTGGTTAGTCTTAACAACGGCAACTCAGCCCTAACTTTTGTTTAACGCTGATTCCTTGGTACTACGACTGCTAGTCTCTTCAGCGTGATAAAAGAAAGCAAAACTACATGTTGTTAGGATCGTAGCTGAACTACTTGAAGACGCGGATTCATAAAACGACTCTCAGCCGTTCTGTTTGAATTCAGAATATATCGCTCTTTTCTTTTTCTTTCTTTTTATCAGATTTTTCAAAGTTCAATTTCTCCGGCAATATACCAATAATGCGTATAACCAAATAAGGCCTCTCTTCTGCATTAATTTCTTTGCATTCTTTTCTTTCTTTCTTTTTTCTAGTCTTTTTATTATTTAAGCTTTGTTTCCCTTTTCTTTCTTTCTTCTTCAAGACATTTCTTTTCTTCTTCTTCTTCTTCTTCTTCTTCTATTCTAAGCTATTTCTCTTCCTCCTTTTTCTTCTTCCTCTTTAAGCTATTTCTCTTCTTATTCTTATTCTTCAAGACCTTTCTGCACGTCTTCTTCAGAACCTGTTCAAGCTCATTCCCTTCTTTTTCATCTTCGTCAAACTCTTTATCTACTTCTTCAAGACCTTTCTTTTCTTCTTCTTTTTTAAGACCTTTCTTCTTTCTTCTTCTTCTCCTTCTTCTTCTCCTCCTTCTTCTTCTTCTTCTTCTTCAAGACCTTTTGTTCCTCAAGTTCTTTCACCCCTTTGCATCTTCTCCAAACTCTTTATCATCATCTTCTTGTTCTTCTTCTTGTTTTTCTAGTTGTTGTTGTTGTTGTTGTTGTTGTTCTTCTTCTTCTTCTTCTTCTTCTTCTTCTTCTTCTTCTGTTATTATTTATTTTTTGTTTACGTTAATTAACACATTTTAATCTTTTTCCCGCTGCTTCAACTTGTTTCTTTTTTCTGATGAACATTTCATTTTTAGTCTTTCTCTCCTTTTGAAAGAAATTACTACCATTATTATTATTATTATTATTGTTGTTGTTGTTGTTGCTTTTGTTGTTGTTGTTGCTGTTGTCCCTTTTCTGAACACACTAAATATTTTTCTTTTATCATCTTTTTTCTTTTTTATTCTCTTTCTCTTCCTACCCCCTTCTCTCTCTCTCTCTCTCTCTCTCTCTCTCTCTCTCTCTCTCTCTTTCTCTCTTTTTCTCTCTGTATCGCTCCCGTCTCTTTTTTGTCTTTTAGCATTCTTTCTTTTTCAACTTTAACCTCAGCATCTTTTTCTTCTCATTTTTCTTTCCCTTACTCCTATAAACGTTTTCACTCTCCCTTTCTACGCCATTCAATAAAACCATCAAAATAAAAAAAAGCTTTCACACTCATAAGAAAAGTTTGAAACTACTAACAAAATTCACAAACATCGCACATAATTCATAGCAGCCTCTTTGAAAAGTAGAATTGCCTATCAAACATTTTCAGTATTTCACGTATTATATCGTTACAGTCCACGAACGATTTTTGCAGATGAAATTCCATTCAGTTTTACTAGTTTTTTCCTTTTCTAGATACTCTAAAAGAACAATAAATACAGAAATTGTAGTATAAATAAAAGAAAAAGATATAGCAAGAAAAAAAAAAGATGAATGGATTTATGTAAAATAAGAAGACTGACTGGTAAATAATATTAGGTTGGTGCAAAAATAATGTCGTTTTTGACGTTAATTTGAACGTCAAAAAAACGACATTATTTACACCAAATATCTGAAGCCAAACTTAAAAAAAATCAACATACGCAGAAATAGACTAACCACAAAATTGACGTAAAATCAAAATCAATGGTTATTCGTCAGGAATTATTTAATAAAATACACACATGAAGTTTGTTTTTTTTTTGTGTGTGTGTGTGTGTGTTCTTTTTAACGAAGGCAAAACTTTAAAGATTACAATTAAGAAATCAATACGATAAAAGTCAACTTTTATTCCGAAAAATAGGGAATGCTATATTTAAAATTTGAATTTTAAAAATCGATTTTTTTTAAATTGCTTAAAAACGCTGATATTTTAAAACAAGCTTTTTGCTTAAAAGCGTTGGATTTTTAAAAACAAGCATTTTGATGAAAAAGGTGCCATTTAAAAAAAAAAAAAAAAAAAAAAAAACAGCCGATTAGAAATTAAGCATTTTTTCTGAAACTGACATGAAATAATTGAACGAAACTAGTAATTAATAAAAATAAACATTTTTTTTCCAAAGAATTATAAACTTCTTTTATTCAATATTACAATCTCAGAAAAAAAATTCAAAATAAAGTATTTTATATTTACTCCGTTATTTCCCGGCGTCATCTAAATTTGCTTCGAACATAAATGCACTATTTACGAATATATCATTTATCTTAAATATGAATCGACTACATACAGTACTAAATTACTATTAGTAGACGAAATTGTTTGGAAGCTGTCGATGGTTTACCGAAGTCACAGGTCATTTAGATGCCGTTTTCAGCGTATTCGTGTTGTTCAGTAACTGATCACGCTGTATTATGTACTGTCTGTACATAATACTGTGAAACTGTAACTGAGGTACGCCCAGCATACGTGAAGTATAAGCTATAGTGGGTGCGGAAGAAATAGAGATGTGCCTGAGCAGGTGTCTGCAATTGGGACTAGTACCACCATTGCAGTTGGGCATACTCAGAAATGAGCAATTAAACATTACTATACTATTGCTAATATAATAGTTACTTTAAGCAAAATTATTTTATACATTTATACTTGAAAGACTTTGTGTGTGATAAAAGTTCCGAATCAGCCTGTTCAGTTTAGTCGAATACAATTTCACTTGTCTGGCAGCTGGTAAAGAAATTCTGACCAGTATTAATGATCAATCAATTCAAATTTCCTAAATTTGCTAAAAAAAAAACATTGTAGAAAAATACAAAGATTAAATTCGATAATATAAAACAGCATGATTTTTTTAATTACTCATCGGTCACACATCCTTATCTCCTCTATTTGTGATAATAAGATATTCCTTTTGTTACAGTACCAAGATACCTAACCTGGTGCTCGCAAGCAAAGATGAGTCTTGTTAACAATATAGCCACGAAATATCACTTTAATTAATAAGGGAGCCCAGGCTGCTAATACATTGACTTATTTCCTGGATATTTTTACTGTCAATGATTTAAAAAGATAGATTCTTTTTTGCTGGTGGTAATAAAGTTTCCTAGATTACTGCTGCAAAAATATAACCAATACAATTGCAATAACTCAATAAATTCAATATTACATTACTAATGATAATAATATGATAATATAATATAGTGCAATATATATATATATATATATATATATATATATATATATATATATATATATATATATAACTATATAAAATATAATGTAATAAATATAATATAATATAATAAATTATGAAATAGTTTATATTATATATAAAAATATATAGGATATGTTATAATAGATTTAATAGAATCGAATAGACATAATTTAATCTAATATAATAGATATAAGGCAATATTATAATATATATAAAATGTAATACATATAATGTAATGTAATATTATGTAATATATAAAATATATAGAATTGTATAAAATGTATAATATACATAAAGTAATATTATATAATATATAAAAATATAATGCAATTGATATAATATAATGTAATATTTTACAATATAGAATATATAGAGATAATATATATAGAATATAATGAAATATAATGAATATAATATATAACAATATTATAAATATAAAAAAAAAATATATACAATATATAAAATATAATGTGATAGATTTACTTAAATAGCTATGTAATATATGATATATACAATCTAATATTATATAATATATAAAACTGCATAACGTAACAAATATATAATGTAATATAATATATATATGATGTTAGACAATGTATAAAATATGTCAAAATATATAAAATATAATGTAACAGATATTATATAATATAAAATATGCACAATATATATAATATAGTGTAATAGATATAATAGATATGTAATATTATATGGCCAAATGGATAAAAGAGTCGATTGGATTCAATAACTTGACCCAAAGAGTTGTGAGTTCAATACTTGGCTATTGCAGAGGTTAACAAATATTTGGAGATAAGGGGAGATAACTGAGATTTCCGGAAGAGGCAAGGCACGTAGAAGTAGAACAATCTACCCCAGTGGACGAAATAAAGAATTCAGTTCGAAATCACCTGAAGAAGGCCGGAGCATGCAACGACCGAAACATCGTTAATATGGCAATAAAGATGAAGACAACAATCCGAACAATGTAAATAATAAAATGTTTAATACAATATATATATAATGTTATATAATATATAATGTAATATTATACAATATATGAAAATATATCAAAATATAATGTCATAATAATAATGTAATATAATACATATAATGTAATATAAAAATATATATGAAATATATACAATATATAAAATATAATGTAATAGATATAATATGACAATAAACATAATCTAATGCAATAAGAGATATAAGTTAATATTATAGAATATATAAATAATATAAAAAATATATGATGTAATAAATATAATGCAATATGTTAGGCATGTTATATAATTTAAGATATATTTATGAAATATATAAAATATAATGTCATAGACATAATATAAGGTAATATAATAGGTTTTTAATATAATCAAGATAAAAATTTGAATGCAAAGTCATATTTACCAATAACAGGATCATAATTGTACGTTTAATTAATGTTTTTAAATAAACCCACTTATTGGGAGCAGGGAACGAATCGAAAACCAGTTAAAATAATTAACTGAAAGCAATTACTGCTCATAGAATTAAATTAATAAAAATCCTTATTTATAAAATAAATTATTGCAGGTTAATTTGGGGTACAAATTACTAATGAATGCCATTTAACCGAACAAAATGGAGAACAGGAATTTTATTCGGATAATTGATCCGGCTGTAAAAACAAATTTCAAAAATAAAATATAAAGAAAAAAAAAAAAAAACGAAAGTTATACTAAACACATAAAAAGAAAGTGTTTGCCTTCATCCAATCAATAAAATTAGTAAAAACAGGATATTGCATTAAAACCTGCAATGTTTCATTCGCGAAATTTATTGAGATGCTGGTCAATTATTCGTTTTCTTTTTGCGTGTGTATTAAAAATAAAATTATTTCAACACTGTTTAAAGAGGCCGACTGTCATTAAAACTGATCGATCGTTTTCTCTTCACATTTTAGAACAACAATAAATTCCACTATATTTAACAAATACATATTCAAAACAACGTTGAAGAGTATAATAAAGACGTCACGACATATTTTGCCATACGTTTTTGTTTTAATCTTTCTTTGTTTTGTTTCGTTTTTTTAATCTGTTAAAATTATTTCAACAATGTTTAAAGTGGCCGGTTGTCATTAAATCGACCGAAGGTTTTCGCTTCACACACTTGAGAATAGCAATAAGCTAATAAAACAATAAATTCAAAGCTGTTTGTAGCGGATGTGGACCCAGAAAAAAAAAGTCGTAAAATAAAATATTCAGGGCCTTGAAATTATGTTCGGTTAAACGGCTTTCGGATAACAGACATTTCACTTGATTAAGCGCAACAAAACCTTTTTAAAATTACTTGTTTTTAGAAATTACTTTGGTGAGTAGATTTTTTCATCGGCATTTAAGATACTTCAAGTAAATCTTGGATTCATTATTATTTTCCTTCAAGATAACAGCTTGGGTTTAAGAACCTATTTGCGAATTGTTCTTTCTTTTCTTTTTCTTTCTTTCTTTCTTTCTTTCTTTTTCTTTCTTTCTTTTTCTTTTTTTGTTTAACTATCACTTTCTTTCCTTCCCTTATTTCTTTTCTTTTCCTTCCTTTCTGTCAATCTTACATTTTCATTCTTTCTTTTCTTTACTTTTCTATTTGTCTATTTCTTTCCTGCTTTCCTTCCTTCATTTCTTTTTTTCTTTTTCTTTCATTCTTTCTTTCCATCTTTCTTTTTCTTTTTCTTTCCTTTCTTTTTCTGTCTGCCTTTCTTTCTTACTTTCTTTCTTTCTTTTCGTTTCTGTTTATCTCTTTCTTTCTTTAATTCCATCTGCCTTTCTATTCTTTTTCTTTCTTTCATTCTTTCTTTCATTTTTCTTTCATTCTATCTTTCTTTTAATTTTCTTTCTTTCTTACTTTCGTTCTTTCTTTTACTTTACGTCTTTCATTCTCTTTTCTTTTCCTTTTCAT